ATGCATACTGTCAACAGCTTAACGGTGAAGAGTCCTATTGCAAGATGACTCTGGCTGCTCCTACTTGTGTCAATGGTGATCAACCGTGTGGAACCTTTGAGGCTTGTGGTCAAGACATTCCACCACCAACTACTAGTCTGCCTCCGAGCAATGGAAGCTACGAGCCCGCGTGTGACGTCATGTGTCAGAGCATTAACGATGAGACTTCTTATTGCAAGTGGTGGCAGCCCGTTCCGACGTGCCTCAATGGTGATCAACCGTGTGGTGACCAGACTGTGTGCACCTCTCAGACGTGGCCTCCAGCTCCGACTCCGCCAACTTTTGATGGTGCGCACCCTCACGAGTCCGCTCCCTGTAATGCCTACTGCGTTAGTTTGAATGGTGAAGGTTCTTACTGCAAGTGGTGGAAGGAAGAGGCTACGTGTCAGGGCGGTGGTCAGTCTTGTGGGGTGAGCGACTGTCCATCTGGCACCCCAGCACCCACCGAGGCTCCTAGCGACTCACACAGTGCCCATAGTCCAGCATGCGACGCCTATTGCGTCTCTCAGAACCCTTCTAGCAGCGATGATGGTGAGTCTTACTGTAAGTGGTGGCTTGCAATTCCCACTTGTCTCCATGGAGATCAGCATTGCGGTCCGAGCGTGTGTGATGCACCATCATCCGCGCCCTAATGCTATGTGTATTTCTCATATACGTATATACCTGTATATCTCGGCCGTGAGGGCCATTCGATAGTCAATTGACTATTTCTCCTCTGGATATCGCCTCGTGTTTCTAGTATTTTGTCAAGCGCGTCTGATGCCGCAATAAATCCAAGATAACGATTCAATGTGGTACACCGAGATGTTAAATCACTGCACGAGGACACAACCTGGCATTCATTACTCAATCGAAATTGTGAGGTGTACCGTATAACTTGCCATCACCGCGATAGGTTCACCCCGTAATATCTTTTCTTTGGTCCCTACGATTGCGCTTGGATATACCCTTGATTTTTTTTGAAAGTGCGTGTTATTACGTCATCAACTAGTTAGTGTCAAAGCACTGAAGTATCCAACGCGGAAAATCTCAAACCAACGGGAAGTATGTCAACTTGACTTCACTTTGGTACACTAGTCGAACGAGAGGCACTTTCCGCCTGTGGGTTCTTGCAATACGAAAAAGGTGTACGAGGTGTACTCGACGAAATTGAAAGTTCTATGACGAAATCAAAGGTTCAAAAGTCGAAATTGAAAGTTCTATTGACACGAACTTGAACTTCCTATGATATTCTCGTTTCGGATTCGGACCTCCAACTTCGCGCGTCCCGACGAAATTGATGGTTCAGAAAGCGAACTAGATGTTTAAAAGGTGTAGATTAATCGGGGTGAACTCAATCTCAACGCAAGCCGAAATCTTTGAATTTTTGACCCTTGCCAATGGCAAGTTGCCGTAAAAATGATTCATCGCCGCAGATCGAGGCGCCTGTTCGCACGAGATATGTCGACGATTTTTAATCCCGGTGAGGGTGTTGCGATCGATTCGTTACAGCGCACGCAATATGATATCGATTAACCGGGAACACAATACAGTGCACGCGCGCACTTCCTCCCTTCGTGTTTTTCAAGTCGCTCCGTTTCACTGCGCTCTCAACGGAGTGCGATTTCGTGCAACTTGTACGACAACCGCACGTGAAGGAGTTCGAACTAGTGGCTCTGGGTACGGCGGGTCGGAGGCCAGCCTACTCCAGAATAACAGTGTAAACCCCTAGCCCGATGCGGACCGCATTACGCGGTAGAGATGTTATTTACCCTGGGTATGGACGCTATACCGTGATTAATAGTGACCTAGGACACCAATTCTAGGGACATCGTCTGTTTGGGCCCGCGTCTTTGTATTAATAAACTGCGCGGGGCGAGCGAGAAATCACCTTGACTATTCACGATTTCCCCTGAAAATCTGGATTTACCCCAGATATCGTTCCGCCTATCATGAGGAACGGGAAACCTGTGGGGCTGATGCTCAGGAGTCTATTTGGTTGCATGTTATTGTGTCGTAGGTTTGCGTTGGAGCTTCCCGAACAGCACACCACTGTCGAACTGAGATCCACTTCACGATAGAAAGGAATCATTTCTCTTGGCTGTTGCAGCACCGTTCGTTTTTTAAATGTAGTTGGTACCTCGGTGTCACCAATTCCGACACATCAGCGGATCTATTAAGTCAGTCTCGGCTCAGTAGCCACTGTTGGCCTCCTTCGTTAGCTGCATGTGATGGAGGGTATGATACAGGTTCTACTGCGAGATCAATATAGGCCATTGTATTCGCTCGCGACGTCTACATTATAGAGCTATGAATGCTGGCATGTTACTAGGCCTTATCGATAGAGTCCACTTAGGGATGTGGCACACTTTGATACATTCTCGTCCAGTTCTGTAAGAGGGACATGTATAACGTCGTGGTTGCCGGCTCAGCTGTAGGGGTAAGAGGTACAAGGTAGTAATGTGACGTATGAAGCTACTGGAGGTGGTGCTGGTATGTAGGGTCGGGTGTGGGGTCTTCAACTCCTTCTTCAATGTGACTGAGACTACGGTATTGACCCATGACTTTTTGATGTTATGAGGATGCAACTGCAGGCTCATCAGCGCGCTACTTTTTGAAATAATCAAAAGTATATAAATGACAGACTGAGTTGGGAGAAAGCTCTGTTGAGCTCATTGCATGCATGGTCCACAACGCTTTACGGTGTGCTAAGGCCTTGTAAGCTGGATAGCGTTCTGAGGGGCTGGAATTTCGTGGCGCGCGGTAGACGATCCGATGATATCGACAGTACCTAATGTTAGTATAATGACCATGCCCTCTCCGCCCGTGCAGTTTCTGAAGTCTCTCATTTGGCTTGTGTATAGTCGAGTACATTTCCGTAGTACTGAGTAGTAGCATGTCCTCCTCCTCCTCCTCAACAGAGTGCGAGCAGGCCTTTCTGGATGCAGTCCACCACGTCTTCACTAACTGGACTGCTCTCACTCTCGCGAGGGATAACTGTGACTGCAATCCTAGGTAGGCATAGACAGTGTTGGTAGTTGACCTAGGAGCCTTCAGGGAGGCCTCACAGCGTATCGAGAACATCGCAGAGTCGGTGATTGCTGATCTACGGGCTGGTGGAGCGAAATTGTCTAGTGAGAACAGCGATCAAGTAGCCAAGTTGGCTGATAGGCTCTTCGAGATGATCGCCAACAGCTTTCAAATGGTAGTAGTAGGGGGAGGGGGAGCGGCGGCTGCAGCGGGGATCCCTACAGCGTGTGAGACTGAGTATATTCGACAGACAGGCCGTTCAGTGGTGTTGTTTGCTATTCGAAATCAGGAGAGAACAAGATCTTTGTTCCTTTCGGTGGAGTTGAGTAATATATATTAGAGTTCCACTCGTTTAGCGTGAAGTGGCGTAATACTCCATGATAATCATAGGACGTATATGTTCCCGCGAACAGCGGTTATACAATTGTTTCCTTGCGAAGTGAAACGTTTTTCATATCACGGGTGAAACTCTATTGGAATTGGTGGTTAGGGCACTGTTGTAGATGTACTGATTATTATTCTGTTGAATCTTCATTGGTAGCTGACATTGTGATGAGGTTGTTGGTAGGTACTAGAGGACGGCTCTGATGAGGATGTAGCTTATATGCTCATCCGACTGTGGGAATCGTGTAGTCGAGGGGATCTTGGGGTGGCCAGAGAGGTCGTCAATGCTACACAGGATCGTGATCAATCTAAAGTGGGTTCATCTCTAAGTGCTGGTGGGCATGAGGATAGCCCTATGGGATTAGTAGGTCTTGGAGCAGTGTGCTGAGGAAGGACAAGGTGAGGCTGATAATGAGGAAGAGGAGGAGGAGGAAGTCCCTTTGGCTGAGCAAGGTAGTGCTATCAGTTCTCTCTGTGTGGGCATCATGTTGAGTGTTAGAGGGTCAGCATAAGGAGCCTGAGGTGGATGAGGATGGCTTCCAGACTGTGACTAGAGGTCGTCGCCGTCGATAGCTGCCTACCCACTGTTGTTGTAATACGTTCCTTTCCTCCATCCTGTTGTTGCTGTTGGTAGCAGTACTGATGGGGTTAAGTTTGCATCGTCTCTGCCTTTTATAAATGGCACTTAAGCGTGGGGCGAGCGAAGAGGCTGGTAGCAGTCGGAACAAAAGGAAGAAGAGGGAGGAAGAGGATGATGATGGTAATAATAGTACTTGGTGACAGGACACATGCTGTTACTCGTGGTTACGTTCAGAGGAAGTAGAATCATCATCGTCGTCGTCTGGTGAGGAAGGAGATGATGTAGAGAGCGGCAGTAATACTCCTTTGGAATCGGCTACTTGGAGGTTCATGTTGCATTGTTAGGTGGATCCGACTCGGACGACTCTGGTTCTGATGGGGGAGGCAGTGAAGGAGAGGAGGAAGAGGAGGAGACCGGCCGTTCTCCAGGGAAGTCACCGGTAAGTGTTGTGCGGCGGGTTGGTTGGCTGGCTGGAGTGTGGTGTGGTGCAGTCTAAGGTTACCGCTATGGGATTTGAGAATGACGGCTTTGTTGTTGATGATGAGGATAATGAAGGGAGTGATGATGGTGATGGCTCGAGTGATAGTAGGAAGGGGGCTCGGGAGGTAGATGTGAGTAGTAGTTGTTGTGGTCAGCAGGCTCTTCTAGTGAGGATGAGGCTAGTGATCTAGATCCAGATGATATCGATGATGGGGATCTCCTTATCGTCAAAGAGACCAATCCTGAAGCGTAACCATGTTGGTCAATGGGTGGGTGTAAATGCCTGTATCAGATATGCCCGTATTATGGCGAGGAAGGCCGCAGCGGCTAAGGCGGGCGAGGGTAATGCCGACTCGGGCGGTGCGGCTGTGGGAGCTGAAGGTAGTAGTAGTAGTAGTAGTGGCTGTTGTTGCTATTAATGCATTACTATGTAGGTGGCTCGTCTGCCGCGGGTGGGACTGGCGGGGATAGCTCTGATGATGATAGTCTATTGGGAGGAAGGAAGAAGGGATTTTCCAGGCTGAAGAAACAAAAGTGAGTTGAGCTGATCATGTGAATAGTCCTTATCACGATGGTTACTTTCAGGGACTTCACCAAAGCCCAGCATATAACGGCGACCTCTGCTGATGCTCTGGAAGATCGTTTATTCGACGATGACGACTTTGCGGTAATAACATTCATCGAACTTGCGTTGGAAAGACGTCGTAATTTTTAGGATGTCGCGGGTGGCGGCGGTGAGCAGGGTAGATCCTTGGCATCGCGGGGGGACCGCAGGGATGAAGATTCGGATAACGATTCTCTTGCTGATTTCATTGTAACTCGGGTGGGAGATGGATTTCGTAGTGGGGTCTGTGGCGATCGTCGATCACTGATGGAAAGTCCCCATATTTTTACTGGTGTGTTACAGCTAGTAGTGTTTGACGGTAGTCGTTTGACATTGTAGTTCTGCATATCATTTACTAAGGATCGTTTCACAGGTCCGTGAGGCTGGTGATGCAGGGCGTGACGATGATGACGATGATTTACCGAATAGGGGACGTGAATACGCTGAACGGTAGGCCAGCGTGAAATTGGTAGCAGGAGGTGGAGGGATGGTCTCAGATACGGAGAGGACATGGCGGGTTTGCTGCAGGAGATCGATGTAGAGGTCCCGGGTTCGAATCCCCCCGACAGCCGTATTCCCCTCAGGAAGTATTTGGTGATGCTCGAGTATTGAACCTAGCAGCGGGTCGTATGTCGGCTATGCAGCAGCAACAGGAGGAGGATAGGGATGTTGATATGGCTGAGGGTGGCGGTGTTGCTACAGCTGATCCTGAGAAGGATCTTGAGGTCCTTCGACAGCATGGAAGGACATCGTCGTCTATGGTTGTTCTCTATGTAGGCTCGATTTGATCCTGAGGAAGTTGCTGCCAGATTTGTCACTGCGAAGGACCAAGCTATAGCTAGGGCCAATGTAGAGTCTATGCATGATTGTTGTCGGTCAATATTGCTGGTCATCAGATCCCTGAGCGTTATCAAGCTGTGTATGGTCCTAACACTGCGGCCCGATGCATTGCAGCGTTTAAGGCGGTCCCTGTAGCGGTGGGAGCTGAAGGGGTAGTAGGGTTGATGTCCAGTTGTGGCAGGAGGAATGTGGTTGTTGGTCTTAGATGGCATTGGACCCAGCTGAGGCTGAGTCGGCTGCTAGGGCTGCTACTGATAAGGAGATGTATAATCAGGAGTGGAGTATAGAGGCTAAGTGGATATATGCCAAGATTAGGGAGAGGGTAGTAACACTTCATACCACTCCATCTCGAACCAGCTCTGAATTCGATCACGTAATGGTGTGCTTGGCTCCTATCAGGCGGATGTGTTCGCGAATCCTGATGCCTACTCCACTACTCCAGCCTCCTACTCCCAGGTCTTCGCTGATGACACCTACAAGTGCGTCCCTCCTCCCCCCCCAACACAGCTCGGCATACCATATTTTTCGCAGGTTTCAGATCATCCCACTCATTGAAGTGCTCCTTAGGGATGTCAAAGGGCGAGGTTATGAGATACCCACCATATGGAACGGGTAAGGGGCCTCCTTTCCTTTGCAGTGTGGTGATCGTTTTTTGTATAGGATGTTGCGATGTAAGTATCGTCCAGTTCTGGAGGAGCAGGACCTCTGGACTATCATGGACTTCGATAGGCAGTGGGTTGATATAAAGAAAGTGAAGCAGAATATGGCGGAGAAGCTCCAAGGCTACAAGGAGTAAAATATGCCATGTTGTTTACAGTGGAGGAGGATGTTGTTGTTGTGGTCTCAGTTCGTTACAGCGTGCCTTGGACATCGACAACGAGCTGATGGAACAGGCTATCACTGAGCATGCTGATAAGGAGGCCATGTCGCCGGAGTTACGGGATCGAGTTGTGAAGGTAGTAGGCATTGTACTTCCTCAGGGCTGCTTCTACTGATGGGTCTCAACTTTAGGCCAACAGCCAGATAACGATGATATTGGCCCGTCTGGACGACCTGTCGAGTTCACAGATAGAGGAGACCTACGCTGAGGCTCTGAAGGATATTTCTTTGATGATATCGGTATTAGCCTGTAGTAGGTCGTCGTCGTTCTTGGTGACACCACTGATGTAGGTCCAAGTGGAGCCTAAGCTCCGGCGTCTGGAGAGCACGGGGCTGCAGAGTTTGGCTATAGTGCACAAATCTCATTTGGTAGTAGCACATGTTGTGATAGTTGTGGTATTACTAGTGTGGGAAAATACTCACGTGATCAACTACATGTGTGGGTGACAATATAAAAATTCGCCGACAAATGAAAAATTTGGGGAATTATTGTTGGTTTCTGTACACTCTTACCATTGCGAGGAAACTCCTGGGCTCAGTTGAGGAAAGCGAACATATATTCATACTCCAACAGTGTGTGTTACCACCTTTTATCTCAGCGTGTTGACGACTCGTTGTACAGAGTTATTACGGATGCCGGCTTGGACAAGGCCCTTGAGGAGGTCATCGGTATGGACTCTCAACAGGTGTGTTCCTATCGTATTTCTTCATCGTAGTATCACTTTTCAACAGCTCGGTGAGTCCCTCTTGGTTGGCCACAACTTCGCTCCAGCAATCATCGACCGACCCCCTCTAGCTGACTGGGTCCATGCCCAATGCCAGGGCAAGTCGGGTCTCATCTTTCACAATGAGAGGAGACTGGTCGACGCTTTAGCTCAGTTTACGGCTAGGAATATAGGTGAGACTGCAGTTCTTTTTCTTACCAATTTTCTACATCTTCTTTACAGCATCGGATGCTGGCACTCGTCGTTTCTTCCGTCGAGCACTGTGGCGTCGTGCTCATGTGTGTACTATGCCCGTGGGCAACTTCAAACCGTCCGCAACCTCCCCGGACTATCTGGTCACTCGGCTGTGTATGAAGCCTATCTGTTCCTGTATTGGTCCTACTTGGTCGAGGATCTGTGCTTTGGAGGCTCAGGGCTCTATCACTGTTGATATCGTCTGGGCTGATTACGAGAACCCCGATAAGATAGTCGTAGATACTTTCACAGAGGCGCAGATGTCTTCTAACTACAGTCTAATTTTCAAGGCTATTCAAGCACTAGAAAACAACAAACCTGTACCGTCTGGGAATCATGGTGTGCTTATGAAGTACTGCCGACTTGGACTGCTTCTACATCAGTGGACTCAGTCTCGTCGGGCGAGCGCGGGTGTGATGGTATCGGAAGCAGTAGAACCTAATACGTTGCTTGGAGAGGACTGTTATTTGCGACGCCTTGTTGAGATGTATGCTATTGGGCAAAGTGACTGGCGAGAGTTCGTCTTGGGTGCGGCCAGGCAGGCGGTGCAGAGCATTTACATGAGTATGAGGAAGGAGATTAGGGCTCGTATGAAGAGGGAGTCTGATAGGATCATCGCTGAGAACTGCGTAATGAGGCTCTCAAGGCGTAGTGAGGCATTCGAGATGTGTTGTTGTTGTTATGGTAGGCTGCGGCACTTGGGAACATCATAGGTCGCCGAGGCTATGAGCCTAGCACTGAGGCGGACTCTGCTGATACCAACGCGGAGGATGCTGCTGGTGCTGGTGAGGATGATGATGAGGACTCACCTCATGGGGGGATGGATGATGTTGACTTTATGGAACGTCAAAGGGATATTGATCGACAAGTGGCATTGAGGAAGTTGAAATACTTCAGAGCCTCAGCCGTCGTTATGGAGAAGTAGGAGGAAAGCTTTTATTACGTAGGGTGTACACGTGTATGTGGTAGGGTGCAGAACGGGACGCGGTGCCACTTGGTCACTGCTGATGTCGATGGGACACTCCTTGATGTCACACAACTTGACTGGTTAGTAGCGCCCAAATCAGGTGATGACGATGATATTGATGGTGTGGTATGGAGGTCTTCTTGTTGTTGTTCTCAGCTGAGGATCGCCACAAGGCTGATATGAAGAAGTTCGAGGATAAGATATCTCGATACGTCCCAGCAGTGGTGGTGGTATGTGCTATGGACATCCGTTGTAGAGGCCTCATGAGGGACCTCTCTGATAGCTGCTCTTGGGTAAGGCTCGTCAGCCTTGGTGTTGGATGATGATGGCATTCAGTTGGTGTCGACCCACCCTGTACTGAAGCAGAGTAAAGCAGTGTTGCCATCCCCTCAAGTGGTGTGGGGTGATCCTACTATACCCCGGATCGTTGGTAAGTCCTTATGGCTACCTATGCTCTGTTGATGGTGTATTCAGCCATGCGCTCGAACAAGGCTGAGAAGGATGGCCTTACGTACTTGCAGAGGCTTGGTCTGTCGATGTGCCGGTGGGTGCTGCTATTGAGGTGAAGTTCGATGCATGTGTTGTTGTGGTAGGTTCATGCAGGACCCCCTGGCTGAGACTGTACAGTTGTGGTCTGATGATGCTAGTGGCCACAGTGCCTTACAGGACATACCACTTGATTCGTGCCAGGTAGGCGAGGGAGCTCTACTGCTTTCATCCACCCGTGTTCAGGCCAACTGTGATCGGTTCACGCTCCGGGAGGCGTTGTCGCATGAGATTATACGTCGTGTGAATCAAGTGGGAGTTGACCTTAATGTCAGTGCGAGGTGTCCACATCGTGCTGGGGTGTTGAAGTTTGTGGCCGGCCTTGGTCCTAGGAAGGCGAACATTCTATTGAGGAGGAGCGGTAGGGTTGTATGTTGTTGAACTCTGGAGAGGTTCCTTGATGTTGTTGTCAGATGTGGTCGTGAGAGGCCTCGAAAGGGAGGATGTCAGTGAGGCCTGGAAAGGGCTCAGCCCTCGACAGGTGGGCTCAGCCAACAATATTAGGCTTTAATGAATCGTTGCTCAGGCACGACTACGGCAGTTGCTCGGCGATGTGGTATGGCAGAATTGTCAGCCTTTCCTGAGGCTCTCGCCTGACATGGAGAAGCTCTTGCAAGCAGTAGCTGCCGGTAGGCTGGTCGCTGCAGTTAGTGGTGATCTACCGCGCCGCTTCGACAGGTAAACGCAGAAGCTTCAAGAAGAACAGGCATCGTGGGAAGACCGACGCGGATTGGGATAAGAATGAATTCGACGAGTCAGAATGGAGGCATTAATTTCAGTCATTCTCAAGCGTCGTATTGATTTCAGGGCGCGCGGAGTTCTGTGTCCGGTCCACGGCGAAGACGTAACATTCGAAGAGGTCCTTGCCGCTGTATCGAACCCCCATCCCTTCGAGTTGACACGATTGGCTAGGGACACCTGGCCAGGTGAGGGCTGTAACGTTGAAGTCGGCTACAGTCGCTCTTCTCAGTTGCTAAGGAGGCGTGCCGTATTGCCTGGCATTCCTCGGGAGCGGCAGATGCATCTGACGAGAAAAGCATGCTCTCGCTCATAAAGAAGCGTATGTGTCTACCGGTGAGCTGTGTGGTCGTGGTCTTGGTGTCGGACAGTCATGGTCATGATCTCTTTTAGACGACTATGCAGGACTTCGAGGCGGTATCGGCTAATTTGGAGGGTCTCGTTGATGCTATGCTGAGTAGTGATGATCTACCTGAACAATATACTGATCATGAGGTGCTGTGCTTCTGAGGCGACAATTGGAAAAAATACGTCTGGTGTGTTCAGGTTGACAAGGGGGCATTGAAGGCAGAAATGGTCGGGTATATAAAGCATGATATTGCTAGTGAGATTCACAGGTTGGTCGCCTCACTTGCCCATGGGGATATCTTATTGCTGTTATCAGTCCATACTATAATTACTCCTCTCGTTGGGAGCCTCCTACGGCGCAGGCAGTGTTCGAAGCTTGTACTGGTGAAACGGCACAGTCCCTCAGAAAGGTAAGGAATTGATTCGCCATAGGGATTGTCGATGATTTATTGTCAGAATACTGTCGTACAATGTGAAGTGATTGACGGTAGCTTTAACGACAAGGTTAAGGTTCGATTGCTCCAGAATCGCTGTGATGGGCTCTTCTTCAAATGGGATAAGGTAGGCGTATCCTTGAGTGCATAGTCGTGGTGGAAGGGTGTTGTCTGTAGAGAAATAACGAGATAGAGAATGCTAAAGGCAACTGGAATCAGGGCGATCTCCTCACAGCTCGAGTCACTCACATAAAGCCGGATGTGTACGACTCTGATGACCACGACAGCTACCTCAACTGTGTGAAGAGGAGTTGTGCTGGTGTAGGTTCAAGGTGGACGTAACTGTTGAGGACATCACTGATTATGAGCAGAGGGAGATAATAGATCAGGATCCGAAGTTGGTCGCTAAGAGCGATGACTTCCGGTAGGTTGTTGGGTACCTTGAATGACAGCTGCAGCAATGGTCTTAGGGAACTCCGCGGCCTCGGGAAGGTGGTGGTCACTCAGAAGCAAGGTCTTGATGCTGCCGCTTCTATTCGTGGTCGGCGTATCATCAGACATGACAACTATAAGGAAATCTCCCACAGTGCTGCGATGGCCGTAAGCACTGGTCAGTCGTGTTTCTGCTGAGTCCTTCTGTGTTAGTATCTTGAGTCGCCCTCCATCCCAATAGGCGAGGTCCTATTCCGACCTAGTACGAGCCATCAAGGTCATTACATATGCATGATCAAGATCAAACAAGGTGAGTGATTATGTTCAACGACTTGATGTAGAGCTTTCCCTCAGGCAACAGAACCAGCACTGATTGGGTGAAGCAATTCGTCTTCCAAGAGGCCAAGAGTAAATTCACTCAGCAGGCAGCTCAACAGAACACCCTGGGAAATGCCAAGATGGTTTATAAGGTTGGTCAAGGCTCGTCCTCTGCTCTCACAGCTTCCTCTCCGTTTGCAGTTGCCTGGAGAGCCTGAGGAATTTGACGAGTTGGATCAGATCAAGGCGATGATTGTCGAACCGTGAGTCCATCCGCATTGGAGACGTTACGTGAGGTTCTTATTGATAGTTATATGAAGTATCTCACGGACTTCACCAATTTCGATAAGTATCAGGGCGGTAACGTGGAGCAGGTTAAGAATCTTGTGGTAGCCACCAAGTTAAGTAGCACTACTAAACATGTAAGTGGTCAGTAAGAGGGGAGGCTTGGCAGTGGTTTGTGAAGGTTGCGTATTTCCTTACTCTGGACGAAAGGAAACCTATGGGAGGTGCTGCAGTGTTGTTGTGGGCTGGCAAGAGGGATCAGTCGGGAAAATATGCCGTTATTGAAGAGCCTGTTCACATCACCCATCGAGGGTAGGGAGCGAGCACTTTCTTAGTCCCAGACTGGCGCTCTCTAGATTCAAGCTGTGGAATGCTGGTCCTTTCAAGAGCGTCAATCGCATGATACAGTGGTGGAAGCAGGAGGGGTTCTTCAACCGGAAACAGTACGTCCTCTAGCTCCGTCTTACCTTAGTAGGGCCGTCCGGGCAGATATGTGAAGGAGTATCGGGATATTGCCTTGAAGCATCAGGCGGCCGTGAAAGCCCAGCAAGGGGCGCCTCAAGTTGCTGAGGAACAGAACAGTAAGCTGTCAGAGTGGTAAGGAGGGCTTATCATACGATGTCCAGATAACGACGAAAAGAATGGCAACGATACCTGGAAGGACTGGAAGGTATTTTTAACAACTGTTGTTGTATGGTTAGCATTTGGGCGTTTCTAGAGCTCTGGCCAGTCTTGGTATGACAATGGAGACAAATGGAATAACGGAGGCGGAAGAGGAGGAGCCTCGTGGAAGCCGAATGACTGGGGCAACTCTTGGGGTAACTCAAGTGGTGGATGGAATCACAGCAATGAAGGAGAAAGGGGGGACAATGCAGGCTGGAAATATGTACAACGTCCACTTCAGCACTCATCGATCGTCTTACATAATCGATGTAGAATTACCAGTCGTGGAACCAAGGTAACAGTGGTGGCAACTTCGACAATTGGCGGCATCAAGGAGAGCATCAATCCTACGGTGGGAAGAGCTACTGGAGTGGCAACAATGATGGTGGTTGGACTAAGGACGAGTGGGGACAGTGGAAACGCACCGGTAGGCTACATTTGAGTCTCGACTCGAACTTCATGACCCTCTCAGGCGGTGGTGGCGGTGGTGGTTCTTGGGAGGGATGGCACCGCTGATGTTTGTCGCGTCGAACGTATAACTACAATCTCGAAGAGAATGTTGACCATTCACCATTTATCTAGTACAATAACGGTCTCTATCCTTCTCTTTTTGTGTTCGTTTAGAGGTTCAGAGGTGAGTACGAACCCGTGACATATGTCAGCGCGGCAGGTATGACTAAGCCCATTCCTACAGGAGGGTGTGAATCGCATATTCTCCACCCTTGAGGCTGCCAATGAATACAATTAATAATATCAGGGAGAATCACACGTTCTCAAAGCTCGCGCAGCCAATACCATTGGGGAGAATGTCTATGCTACCTCAAGGTATGCCTTAGTGTAATCAATTCCTCTAAGAGGGGCCGCTATGCCACCTCAAGGTATGCCTTAGTGTAATCAATTCCTCTAAGAGGGGTCGCTATGCCACCTCAAGTTATGCCTTAGTGTAATCAATTCCTCTAAGAGGGGTCGCTATGCCACCTCAAGGTATGCCTTAGTGTAATCAATTCCTCTAAGAGGGGTCGCTATGCCACCTCAAGGTATGCCTTAGTGTAATCAATTCCTCTAAGAGGGGTCGCTATGCCACCTCAAGTTATGCCTTAGTGTAATCAATTCCTCTAAGAGGGGTCGCTATGCCACCTCAAGGTATGCCTTAGTGTAATCAATTCCTCTAAGAGGGGTCGCTATGCCACCTCAAGGTATGCCTTAGTGTAATTAATTCCTCTAAGAGGGGTCGCTATGCCACCTCAAGGTATGCCTCAGTGTAATCAATTCCTCCAAGAGGGGTCGCTATGCCACCTCAAGGTATGCCTTAGTGTAATCAATTCCTCTAAGAGGGGTGACTATGCCACCTCAAGGTATGCCTTAGTGTAATCAATTCCTCTAAGAGGGGTGGCTATGCCACCTCAAGGTATGTGAATCTCAATGTGTGCCCTGGTGCAGGCTGCCAATCGAACCAGCTAACTGGTTAGATGGGAAGACCCATTACGCTAGCGCATCCCGAGGTAACCCCAGTTTCGACTAATCCCAGGATTCAGTCTCACTGACATCGTTGACAGTCAGCAAGGCAGCGAGGAGGTGCTTCGACCGGAGAGTTGAGTCGATCACTGTGTGACAAGACTTGTGATCCTCGCCCAACTATAGACCACCAAAATAATGTTCCACACTAGATGGTTATTGACAATTCGAACCAGTTGATGACCGTGGAATGGAAACGATCTAATCAATGAGTGTTAGCTATCCACGATGGTGACAAACGAGTTAGGCATCCTAGTAGGGTGCATGTCGAATAGGTATCAGTTAAAGAAACTGGATGAGGCTCCTCAAGAGACGGGAAATTTTCACCTAGAGAGACAACACGCAGGCAATTGGCTGTGCCACTGGAATGATTTCATACGAGTGATTCCCGTACCCTAAGCCGCGATTCTCTAGGGGGACTTTTCAATATTCGTAATGACAGCACCAGCAGTAGATGCTAATATCAAGATCTACCTACGTTGTAGACCGACCGGGAATGCTACCAATAGGATACATCCATCTGTTGAAAATAATACGGTACGATCCTCGCTCAAACGCCGCTTGGGAAGAGTTTATCCGGCTCAGATCGACGTCAGGGTAGGACCTGATGAGGATGAGCGAGGCATTGAGGTGACCAAGGTGAAGAAGAGTCTGTTGCCGCCACTTCGGGCATCTTCAGAGCTATATAAACAATTCTCGAAATCGGTACCGCTTCAAATGCGACAAAGTGTTCGGAATGGCTGCTCGCCAAGATGATATTTTTGACGTCGTAGCTCGGTAGTAGTTGAAGCGATAACTGCATGCACGAACGAATGAGTTCAGACCAACAATAGAAGAGTGTCTGAAGGGAATTAATGGAACGATATTCGCATACGGCCAGACCGGGTCAGGAAAAACCTTCACTATCACTGGAGGCACTGAAAGGTATTGAATTCTTCCCCACTCATTGCTAATGCTGCGAGTCATACAATAGGTATGTCGATCGGGGAATAATACCTCGATCTGTATCATACATATTTGAACGCATCGGGAAGCTCAGTGACGCGCAGTACAGAGTAAGAGCATGTGGTGGCCTCAGAAGTGTATTCTGAGTTTCCTCGAGGTGTACATCTCTTATCTTGAAATATACAATGATAATGGGTACGACCTTTTGTACAGGGAATCAGATGATGTCAGCGAACTGGTAGAAAAATAGATTGATAACACTTGAGCGTGTATTCATCAGCACAACTTGCCGTCCGTCAGCTTACAGGAGGATGAGGACGGGCAAATGCATCTCCGGGGACTTAGTGTCAATACGGTACCTAACGAAGAGGAAGCATTGAACCTTCTATTCTTGGTAACCTCTCGCTGTGCGAGAAAAACTAGCGATGCTCCCAGGGTGATACTAACAGAGTTGTAGCAGAGACGCCTATGAACGATTCCTCCACGCGGAGTCACTGCATGTTTATAATCTGGATCGAAGCCACAATACCAGGTCTATTTCGACAGCCTTCTGGACGACGCGGAATAGAGATCAGGTTCGGACACTGTTCGCCGAAGCAAGCTCCATCTGGTCGATCTGGCTGGTAGCGAGCGCATCAAAAAGGTTACTCACCCATCAGCGCTAAGTGTTAATAATTAACGCTTGTTAGACGCAAGTCGGCGGGCAGCTCGCGAACGAGTCGCGGTTCATCAACGTCTCCTTGCACTTCCTTGAACAAGTGAGCTCTGATGCTAAGTCGAATAAGGCCAGGCTGTAGGTCCTCAGGTAATTGTATGTCTTCATGAGAAATCAATAGGGAAGCGTAGCCACATACCATACCGGAACAGTATGATGACCAGCGTACTCCGGTAGGCTCTAGGGTGGTATGGTGGGGATTGAAAACGACCCTGCAGGGATTCCTTGGGCGGCAACTGCCGTACTAGTATGATCGGAACACTCTCAATGGACGGTCGCTCCATCGAAGAGAGTAAGCCCTTATGATGATGAAGCGCCACGTTGTGCTGCAGGTATTAGTACTTGCCGGTTCGCACAGCGAGTGGGCCTCATTAAGAACGAGGCTCGCGTCAACGAAGAGGTGAACTTGACATCATCCAATTGTCCCATGAAGTGGCCCGGATTAGATCGATCCCAGCCTGCTCATTCGGCGCTTGAAACGACAGGTTGCTGAGCTACAAGAGGAGCTCAGAATTCTCAAAGGCGACCAACAGGTGTGACTGCGGTCAGTGTTGGTCTAACTGCTTAGAATGAGCGTCTCAGGAAGAAGTTCTCACCTCGGAAGATCTGTCACACTTGAGGGCCTTGGTAGAATCATACATAAAAGATGGTGAATCTACTGACAGTCACCTCGTTTGCGGATCTATGAAGAAGGTGCTTACTATAGAGAGGAATAGATGGCTAGTTGCCCGTGCAGATCCAAGCATGCTTCTCAATACTACGCGATATGGTCACCAAGCCCATGACCGATACTGGTCCTATTATTGCAGCTAGAAGTGCCCCGAAAGGTAGCGATGAAGCCCAGGTCCAACAACTTCAACTACAAGTAGTGCCACTATAGACCGGCATTGGAACAGAAGCCTCCTATTAGATCGCTCAGCGAGATCAGGAGTTGGCGGTCCTACTGGGCATGCTGAATAAAAGTAGCGATTCGGCACTTCCGGAGGGCGGGTGTGATCAGTCGAGTAAGCGAGCTAGTTTGGATATTCAGAGTTCATATTAGGGGTGCTGCTCCTTATTAGGGGTGCGTCCTGCTGTTGATTCAAGTGGTGCTCAGGGGGGAGCCCCACATCATCCTTCAACTGTCGGGAGTGCTGAGTGGCTCGAGCACATCACGGGTACGTGGGCCGAGCTCGACTTACGACAGGGGAGGACTGCTTTTATTAGGGGAGTCACCAGCGACTTTACTCCTTGATCGACAGCGATGCTTTGAACTATTCCGGAAGTCCATTCGCCGCACAGAAACATTAACTGAGAACAAGGAGCTCCTTCGGAAGCTTTGCGAGGAGGCTAAAGCCCTCGGTGGGTACTCAACCACGGTCTGATGTGTACATAAAGATGAGGCAGGTAAGGAGGCCAACACTGCGAGGGACATTGTGAACAGGGAGAAGGAGAGCATTGATAAAGTGCGGAAACGAGCCATTCTACTCGGCCATGATGGAGATAAGGTAAAGTTAGGGAGTTCTACCGTGCATTGAGTTTGATAAAGCTCCCTGAGGAGTACGAGAAGGAGATACGATCGTGTACCCAAAGCATTGAAGAACAGACAGCGGTGTACAAGGCATGCGCTGACAAGCTGCGAGGAGGTAAGGATGTAAACGTTGGTGTTGTCGAAGGTTTTTTAATCAGTCCGATCTGACATTGAGCGCATACAGAAGATGATGGAGCAGAGTCGTATGAGACTTCAGAAAGATTTCGAGAAATGGTATGCTAGTATCAGACGCCACGTAGATGTGAATTCGCTGTCCAAAGAGACCAAAAAAGAAGTAAAGACATATTTTTGTAGAAAAGGCATACGCACGTGAAGGTGTAGATACTCGATAAGGCAGGAAAGGACACGGCTGAACATCTCCGTAAATACGAGGTGGCCAGGGAGAACATCCTCAATGCAGGCAGCTAGTGGCACCCTTGGCATGTCATGCTCCAGTTGAAAGCATTTCTTGTGAGTCTATCATGCGTTTGTGTTGCATATTATACTCCTGAGGGAAGAGACGCTCATGCGAATGTTCATTCTCAGCTTCTTGTTTAGGAATGCTTCTTGTAATGATCAGCACTCAAGGTGGGGATAGAATGGAAACGCTTTTCTACCTAGAGAAGTGTTTCTCATTTTTCCTTTAGTGCCACATTTGCGTCTATCTAGTCTACCTAAACTATATAGACGATCGAAGGTCACTTTCATCTCGAATCGCGGTGTGTGTGTTCCTTCCTGTTCCCCTTGGTTTTGACGCTTCCGTATCCGACTGTGAAATCAACAGTTGACAGAATGTCTCTGAAGCTATGCAGAGAAGTAGTGTATGTGAGAAGGAACGGTCTCGTTCAAGGATACATAACACATAGTAGTATAGAATGCATCGAATCAGAGAGGACACAGAATGACGTGAAAAGCATCTCAGGAAAATACAAGGGACACAGACTTTATTCAGTACGAAGACACAACCAAGTCATCGAGTTACACTTGAAACCACTTCCGAATGCCACTTGCAGAATTCTATGGCCAGCCTGGAGGTTTCCAGATCTCTCGATAAAGCCCAGCTCATACCAGATAGAGCTGCTGCTGGTGTTTCCCATGTGATAGAGGTCCAAACGGGAAGGAAGGATATCCCGATCGCTAAGGTTGAGGCTCTTCTGAATACCATCCAACACACCGCGACCACCAGCGTGGATGCAGAAATGGTTAATACCCTTCTTGAAATCGGGAATATACTTCTTATTGAAAACCACTTTGATGAGCTCAGTAATAGGCAATATATGTGGTCCCATCCGTCTGAAGTTGACAGCGATGGTTTTGCTAGCAACATCAACAATGTTCTTGGCAAGGAAGACTCCCCTATGGCCCTCCTCGTCCTGATCCTCCCACACACACCCGTAGTCCTTCTCAGTTCTGGACTGTTGAGCGCGCACTACGTTAAGTAGCTTATATTTGGCGCGAGTATCGGGCTTGTTGGTGAGAAGTATGGCAGTGGCACCACAACGGAAGAGTGTGTTTTGGACGAGGAAGCCCCTCTCGTTGCCGTTATACACTTGCTCAGCTGTGATCTCAGTAGACACAACAACACACTTGAGATTCTTCCTGTTTTGTAGTAGACGTTGGGCCAGGTCGATGGATATGCCATTAGCGCTGCAACCCATACCTGAAATGTGCTGATGGAGTGGTAGGAAAACTGGTGGGAATCATACCTGATAGATTATACGTCAGAACGTCACTGCGCATACCAAACTTGTGAACAAGCATGGCACAGAGAGAAGGCGTTGGGGAAACCATAGAGCAATTTACGATTAGAATCTGAGAATAAATATCTTCTCGTTGTCATGCAATGAGTATTGTCTGTATAGCTCACGTCAATGTCCTTAGCTGTAATGCCTGTTTTGTTCATGAGGCCTTGAAGGGCACCACTCATAGTGGTTTCCCCCTCGAAACGAGAGTCGGCTAAGGTAGAACTCCACCTCTGGCCATCCTCGAGTGATTTGATCTAAAGCAGATGACGCCATTAAGAAGTTGAAAAGGCGTGGTATGGCCTTGCCATGTTGGGAGGGAAAGCGGTATGGTCGCTGGTGCCAGAATTGACCAGAAGTTTGCGCATGAAGTTGAGACTGTCTGGTGTGAAGTTCTTATCAGTGGAGAAGATTTTGATGATCTGTTCACGAGAGACCTTCCAGGAGTCGGGCGGCATGAACTCGCAGTGGTCCATGCAGTAGACGTCACGTTGGGAAAAGAGGTTGCGTTGGACAAGGAACACAAAACTGGCGAATACCAGAGCAACAACACCTGAAGACATTTCATACCGTAAAAGCTTCAACACTCAGTTGAGTTCGTACTGTTGTGTTGAAGCCATCCAAGGGCATCCCCACTGGTGATGTAAGAGAAAGCGATAGCCACCATGGCCATGAGAATCGCCCACAGTATGCGGTATCTGAGTGATAAGGCGTTATGCTATGTAGAGGAGAAGGAGAACAGCACTTGTAGAAGGCTAGAGTGATATAGTCCACGAAACGGATGGTCCATGAAACTCTGTTATCGAAGGGGACTGAGGTAGTTGGCTCGTGGACCTCGGCGAACATCGGGGCGGTGGCCGTAGGAGGAGCAGTAGAGACGGTAGCTGACATGAAACGAGGAACTACTGAGCTTGGGTATGGAAGGGAAATCAGGCGGAGGAGAAAACAATACAGTGAGTGTATAAAATATAATAAAAAATATCAATTATAGCAAGTATGTATAATTCTGTTATTCAAAATAATAGTAGTAGAGAAACGTATTTTCTGAGAGCTGCTCGAAATTCGGCAAGTCATTTGCTGAGGACTGCAGAAATACAACTTCATTCGGAACTGAGTAGTCGACTATCAATGGACCAAAGCTCGCGGCTGACCTCTGTCTGAGCCGTGCCATTTCAAGGTCCCACGTCTAGCGTTAGGTCCGAGCCCTAAAGTTGGGGTTCTTGAACTATTAAGGTTCTAAGGTTAGAGGCCAGTGGTCGCCACAGAATTACGGACAGCCCACGCTGAGCGAGATTTTCGGCTAAAAACCCGCGCAGGTTCGAATCATCCCAGAGGTGATTTTCTCTTCATTTTTCAAGTCGTGACACCTTGCGTTGTCCTCCCTGAACTGAACCCTCCTCTATCTCTATCATGGTAGCCCAAATACCGTCACTGTTAGAGGCCTTTGAACGTTATGCTAAGGAACAGGATGTTGAACACTTTGAAAAACTCGAGGAAGTACTAATACGGTGACACGTTGTGAGCTCCCACATGCTCAGCGGCGGCTCAGGTTATGCTAGATGGCCTGTCAATTCCAGTGTTAGGGGATCTGTCATTTCTAAAGGACTGCAACGTGGGGCTTCTGTCTCTCAACAACTGTCAGGTTGGGGTCATAGACCATCCCTTCCCAGAGGGCACCAAAATCGAACGTCTCGAATTAAACTGTAGTTTTCGAACTTCTGAAAAAAATATATGAGTTGTTTTTCAGCCAATAACTTGATTGACAGAAAGTCCCTTGAGGCCCTCGGAAATTTAAAAGACACTTTGCAAGAACTCCACCTCGCGAACAACAAGTAGTAACGTGATGTTAGTACGGGTCTGAAATTCCCATCAGATTTGCCGACTTGGAGGCACTAAGTCCCATACATAAACTTGTCAACATTCGCATATTAAATTTGATCGAGTAAGTTGACGTTAGACCCTTTCCTCGTGCATTTTGGCAGACATCAGCAATCCGGTTGGTGGTGTTGTCGAAGACGACGACGACGAGCAACTGGTGAAAGCCGCGTACCGTGAGGACCTTCTGAAAGCTCTACCCAGTCTCCAGGCACTCGATGGTTATGATAGGAATGTATTGTGGCTGAGTTGTGGATAGGGGAGTTTTATAATCGGTTCCTATTCGGTCAGGGGAAAAAGGTAGTTTTCGAGGACTCCGAGCCGGAGGACGACGACGAGGATGCATATACGAGCGAATCTGATGAAGAGGAAGAGGAGGAGGAAGGGGTCGATGATGATGATGAGGGGGTGAGCCTATTGGAGGTGAACGTCGCGTTACTTCTATTATAGGAGGATGATGAGGAGTCGCCGCATGCTGCTAAGAAGAGGCGAACTGATGCTGTAGAGTAGTACAGTATGACCGTGACTCGCGGTTGACTGACTGCTGGACGTTTTCACTATCATTCTATTGAGGGATGCGTTTTTCAAGTCTACGTGACGACCTTGTAGATGGTCCTCGGACTGTATATTCTAGACAACTACCTTCAAAACGAATGGCTTTTTACTCTACAACTTGAAGTCTCAGTGAGTGTAAAGTGTGCCGTGTGAGCTCCCACAACTAGTTGTAGTGGACCCGACACTCGGGTGGTCGAATGCTCTGTTCATGATGTGGGCCTTATCATACGGTCGTATGAAGGGATCATTTATCCAGAGAGTGATTGGAGTTGCTCTCAAGAGATGATCATAAACCACTCCTATTTCGGCGATACCACGATGAAGTGTGACAGTCTGAGTCGTGTGTCGTATGATATCGTTACCCTTTTGTGTAATGTGTCTTCTGCTAGGCTAAGGTACTTCATTCTTCTAATTGCTCATTCGAACGACTGTTATGAAACGTAACAGTATTAGTAGGCGTAACTATGAAATCCCAAAGTCACTTGGGTTGGGCGAGGAGTTCCAACTCGCGGCCTGCTGCCGAGTGGTGGAATTCGGAGCCTGGCTGCCTGGATGTACTTTACGGTGCTATGGCAAGTAGCCAGAGACTCCTCCAGTAACACGGGTTGAGGTGGGTGGGTTGAGATTAAGCTCACCTGGCCTTAAGAGAAGGCCAGATGTATGTCGGGAGAGGATACTCTCAGTGCAATCAAACGGCCATGAGAGGGAAGTCGACACGCACCAGTGCATGGGTTACAGCTTAGCTTAGCGTGATTCCACCGTTCCTGTGACGTCCAAGTGACGTCACGTCACTTGGTGGCGGTCACTGGCGTGGCGATTCCACAACAGATTACGCCATGGCATTGTCTTACACTTAAATCGGCAACCTATGACAGCAGCCGCTCTTGAGCTTCAGTCAGAATAGTGTAGTCGATAATGATGCCTGTTCAGGTGTTTTTGGAGTTTCAATTTTGTGGTACTCAGAGACGGCGATGACGTGACACATCAGATGTGTAAATAGGGTTGTTTTCATCGTGGTAACAGCTACTCATACTTGTTCATATAGTCAACGAGTTTTGACGGTTACTCTTATGAGCCACAAGTTGTGGCTAATCTCACTGTTGATGTAGAATTCATTTCTGCGTCTCGAGTTTAGGCGTGCGCAAATTGCTCACGCACACGGGGCATGGGCATGCGTGCACGTCATTCCATTAAATCAGCTGTTCGTCGACACCGCCATTGCTCGAAGTTTACGACAGAGTAGCACCAGACGAATGATCGCATCCTGAGAAACAACGGGCTCTCCTTTTACCTAGAGAGGGGACAGTGGATCACACAATGAGAGGTTTACGCTATAAATCGCGTGTAGCGAATTTCTTGCGGAGTTTTTTAGTCGGCCTCGGGTGGAATTCAGTCGTGTTAGTAGGGATTCGACGAGGCCTAGCTGATAGTTGAGACTAAGGGCTATGGAACTGAGTTGTGAAGCTCCAAGGGGAGTCTCGGGAGGGTCTATGTGATATTGAGAGTTGAAATCGGTGTGGTACCTGTGGTTGGTTTTAGTTCCTCTTAAGTCATCCCCTCTCCCGTCACTCCACCCATGCCTTTACTTCCTTGCTTTGGTGCTGGGAAGTCTACCACTGAAGCGGCCACGGTTGAGTCCATGGAGGAAACTGTTCCTGCTGATGCTTCTAAGGTCGAGAAAAGCCAGGTTGTCGACTGGAAGTTGAAGGCCATGTTCTGTGTTATTGGTTGTGTTGCCCTCCTTGGTTGGAACTTCATCCTGGGCGAGCTCGGTACCCTTATTGATGCCTTTGGGGATGCTTATGGAACTTGGTGCTCTCTGTGCTACTCCCTCTGCATTAACGCTGGTCAGTTGATGCTTGTTTGGATCGGCAATCGATTCAGGTTTGGTCCCCGCTTCTACACTGGTTGTGTCACGATGGGTATTAGTATGATGCTCATCGCTGTGTGTGCCATCACCTTCGCCAGGGACAACCAAGCTGCGGGCTTTGGTGCTGGTTGTGTTCTCATCGGAATCTTTGGCTTTGCCAACTCCCTTATGGAGTCCTCGATGTTCGGCCTGGCCGCTCTCGTTGATCCGGTCTGTACTGAGTTTATCCTCATCGGTGAAGGTCTTTCTGGTCTCATCGCCTGGCCATTGGATATGCTCTGTCAGGCAATCCTGCAGGGATTTGGTGTCACCAACTACACTTATCCACGAATGGTGTTGTTCTATGGTATTGGTATGCTAGCCAACTTCGCCACTATCCCTATGTACAAGTATGCTATGCAAAAGCATCCTCTCATGCGTGTTGTCCTCGAACTTGAAGAAGGTCGTCAAAAGTTCGTACTCAAAAGAGAGATGAAGCGCCCTCTTGGTCAAGTCGTTTGGGATACGGTCCCTCAAGCCTTCAATGTTTGGCTCAGCTTCACCATTACATTCACTGTTTTCCCCTGGCTCGTATTCGAGATGAAGCCCTCCAATTTATCTGTCGGTTTGTTCGGTCAGCTCATGACGTATTGTTACCAGGTCTTCGACACTATCGGTCGTTCCTCGCCTAGTTATCATCTCCGTTTGAGCAAGAGAGGCACACGTTTTGCTTCCTTCGGGCGTTTGATTTTCATCGCCTTGTTTTTCCTATGTGCTGAGGTTAACACTAACCCATTGAATCAAGACTGGTTCCGCTTTGTTGTTATGGCGTTCTTTGCTGGTTCCAATGGTGTTGTTGCTTCTTGGTGTATGATACATGGACCGACTCAAGTAGATCAAGATGAGCAAGAGGAGTTGGAGATTGCTGGTTATGTGATGGCCTTTGGGCTTATCTGTGGTATCCTCAGCGGTTCAGTGATCGCTACCATTATCCAACAAACTGCCTTTATGTAAGGCTCGGAAGGTTGAACCTTCTTAACCCTTCATAATCGTTGTATGTTATGTTCTCCATCCATCGTCTCCTGATCCAGTCTTTCAATCCGATGGTTTTC